TTGTTTCGGCGCCAGTTGTAAAAAAACATCAATTGAACCGCGGCACCAAAAAAAAAAAAAAAAAAACAAAAGACCGAATTGAAAGTGCAACTCTCAACTAGTTTCCATTGTAATTCGTATCGGAAAAAGGTAAGATCACTGAATTTAGAATGTTAACTGATCGCAATCGATTGTCTTCCACAATTTTCATTCAATTCATAGTCTGGAGTCTTGTAACTATTAATCATTTTCATAACTTTGACAATTTTGAACTTTTACCTTTTTCTTCCCCGGCAAAACACTAATCCCTTTCCATTATTTACCCAAGTACTTCCTTTTTGTGTTCGTGTATGATCGCCTTTCTTTGCTTTTCAAGTTTGAGTGGTTCCCTCTTTTTTAGGAGTCAAAGAAAAAAATGAATAACTATTATTGCGCCACAACGCCCTGAACTTTAGTTAAACTTGAGTGTCGGATTTCTTGGTTTGCCTTAACGGGGGAACAAAAAAAACAACAAAACGTTGATTTATATTAGCGTTGAAGCTGAATATTTTACAGTATTTTATAGAGGTAATGTAATGAGTAAACAAGTAAACAAGCTGTAAGTTCAGCCGGGCCGATCTTTGAATACCCTCCACCATTTGGAACGATTTTAGCAATTTTCAATAAAAATAAATCAGTTTAAAATTCTGTTAAAATCCTTATCTTTATTGGGATCTATACGACGACGTAGACCTACATGGGCAACTTTTGTCAAAAACCATTAAAATATTCAAAGCGAAACTTAATTAATACATACATAAATACAAGTAAAAAAGCTGTAAGCTCGGCCGGGCCGAACTTTGAATACCCTCCACCATTTGGAACAAATTATGTAATTTTCCAAAAAAAATAAAATCCGGTAAAAATTCTGTTAAAATCTTAAAAATACTGAATGTAGCCGTATATTAGGGTCTATACGAGGACGTGGACCTGCGAAAGTGCGAAAGGTGACAAAAAAATCTGTTTATAATGTAGCTAAAATCATCAAAATTGAAGTGATAAAACGTGGACCTGCACAGACAATTTTTTGTCATAGGCTGTAGTACCCATCACGAACTTTAAATACGAAATTTGAAAAAAAATCCGGTGAATAATGTCCATAAAATCATCAAAATACCAAATATCGGGAGAGATCGTTATATGGGGCTATACGAAGACGAGGGCTAGCATGCACGATTCTTGGTCATAGGCTGTAGTGCCCACTACGAACTTTAAATACGAAATTTGAAACAATTCCGGCAAAAAATATAATCAAAATCATGAAAATACCGAATATGGGGGATGTTGTTATATGGGGTATATACGATATCGATATCGTATAAACAATTCTCTTCCAGGGTGTTAAGTACTCGGAACGAAACTTGTGTTAATTTTCAGATAATAACATTGAAAAATTTAGTTACAATCATCAAAATACCGAATAACGGTGGGTACTAATAAATGGGGGCTACACGATATCGCGGAGCAATATAGCCCATCTTCGAACTTGACTGGTAAACATTTCAACAAAGCTCTTTTTAAGTTCGGCCATTAGATAGATCGTCTATTAAGCCCCATTTACATTGGTCATAAAGTCTTCTTTCTCAGGTCGTCTGTAGTGAATCCCATCAGCTTGTATTCTTCTTCCCTTCAGCCAATTCCAACTTCTCCTCCAAAGGACTCACTTCGGCTCAAATCAGTTCGTCTACAAATACTTACGTCAGCTAATCATGAAAGTTCTCCATTTGCTTCGTTTAGAAGGAATTTCTCATCCCGACTAGAAAAAATAACTGCACGTCTAAAGGGTTATCTCCAACTGGATTGAAATACTCGCTTTAAATCACCTATAGATAATGCCATAAACTCGCACATTAAGACCACCAGAAGTTTATCTGTTTACTCTAAAGAGACTCCAATCATCCATGAAGACTCCATTCCGCTCATCTATGAAGACTGCCATAAAGATAATGCTTGTCTATGGAGACTCCCTTCAGAATCACTATGGAACTTTCTTCAGCTTGTCTACAGACTCGGTTGTGGGATCCATTCAGCTAGTCCTTGGAGATTCCCTTCAGCTCGTCTTTGGAGACTCCATTCAGCTCATCCTTGGTTACTCCCTTCAGCTCGTCCTTGGAGACTCCCTTCATCTCGTCCTTGCATACTCGCTTCAGATTGTCTGATGACTACCTTCCGCTCTATGATGACTCCCTTCAGCTCGTCCATGGAGACTCCCTTCATCTAGTCCTTGGAGACTCTCTTTTACTCGTATATGGTGACTCCCTGCAGCTCGTCCTTGGAGAATCCAATCCCCTCTTTTTGAGGACTTCTTTTAAGTTGTCTTCAGAGACTCCTTTTTTGTCATCTTTGGAGACTACCATAAACTCGTCTAAAGAAACTGCCTTTTAATGGTCTATTTAAGCTCCATTCCGCTCGTCTATGAAAACTACATTTAGCTCGTCTGTGGTGAATCCCTTCAGCTGGTTTTTTTGAGACTCTCTTCAGCTGGTTTTTTTGAGACTCCCTTCAGCTCTTCTTTTGGGACTCCCTTCATCTCGTCTATGGAGGACTCCCTTCATCTCGTCTATGGAGGACTCCCTTCATCTCGTCTATGGAGGACTCCCTTCATCTCGTCTATGGAGGACTCCCTTCATCTCGTCTATGGAGGACTCCCTTCATCTCGTCTATGGAGGACTCCCTTCAGCTCGTCTATGGTGACTCCCTTCAACTCGTCTATGGAGACTCCCTTCAACTCGTCCTGGGAGACTTTCTTCAACTCGTCCTGGGAGACTTCCTTAAGCTCGTCCATGGAGACTCCCTTCAGCTAGTCTTTGGAGAATCTCTTTTACTCGTCTATGGAGATTCTCTGCAGCTCGTCCTGTAGAATCCCTTTCGCTCTTTTTGGTGACTTATTTAAGCTTGTCTTTAGAGACTTCCTTCTGTTTTCTTTGCAGACTACCTTCAACTCGTCTAAAGAAACTGCCTTTTGATGGTCTACGGAAGCTCCTTTCCGCTCGTCTTTGAAGACTTCCTTCAGCTCGTCCTTGGAGACTCCTTTCAGCTTGTCTGTGGCGAATTCCTGCAGCTCTTCTATGGAGACTCCCTTCAACTCGTCCTTGGAGACTCATTTCAGTTTGTCTATAGAGCCTCCCTTCGAGACTCACTCCCTTCACAGTTCATCTATGGCCCTTTCGCTTGTCTATGGAGACCTCTCTTCACAGCTTGTCTATTGAAACTCCCTTCAGCTCGCTCTTGGAGACCCCCATTTAGCTCGGCTATGGTGACTTCCTACAGCTCGTCTATGGCGTCTTTCTGCAGCTCGTCTATGGAGATTACATTCAGTTCGTCTCTGGAAACGTCATACAGTTCGTCTATGGAGACTTTTTCTGCTCAGCTATATAAAATTCTTTCAGCTCGTTAGTGGAGACTTCATTCAGTTAGTGTCTAGAGACTTCATCCAGCTCGTCTATGGATATTCCTTCCTCTATAGATATACCCTGCAAGTCGTCTACAGAGATACCTTCCATCAAGTGTATAGAGACTCCAGCTTGTATTTAAGTTCTTACTTAAAATTTTATGTTAAGACACCTTCTAGATCTTGTCCAAAGACTTTCTTCTGCTCGTCGGTAGCTTTGCACAATTATAGAGAAGTCCTCCTTAACTCAATTCGTCTATAGAACCCTCCATCATCAATGGGAAATTCAAATTACAATTGAAATTTTCGAATTTGAATTCGAATCATTTGAACTATAAATACAGTTCTGAAATTACATTTAAAATGTTTCGAATTACGTCTGAAAAAGGTGCAGTCAATAAAGGCTTCCTTCGGCTCAGCTACAGATAATACCTTTGAAGACTTTTCCCAGCTCGTCTTTAGAGAATCCGCTGGTTTATGCAAATTCTCTGAAGCCACCCAAATAGAGTTTATTTGGATTGCCTATACAGACGTCTTTCAGGATATCGATAAAAACTTCCTTCACACCAGGGAGATTTCCCCGAGTTAGTCTTTGGAAATTTCCACCAGAACGTCCTCCTTCAGCTCGTCCATAGAAACATTCTTCAGCCCGTCGATAGAGACTACCTCAATGCCTTCAGTTCTCCAATAGAGGCCGTCTTGAGATCGTCTATAGATGCGATCTTCAGCTCGTCTATAGAGTTCACCTTCAACTCGTCTTAGAGGTCGCCTTCAGCTCCTCTATAAATGTCACCTTCAGCTCCTCTATGGAGACTTCCATCTCAACTCAATTCGTCTATAGCTCGTCTAAAATACTCTCTTAAATCGTCTAAAAGTAGGCCTAAAAATTGCCTGTGATTGTCTTTAACAAGATGGCAGCTCATTTTAAGGTATCCTTAGGCCTTTTCTAAAGTAGTCAAATCGCCAACTTCTTGTTGTTGAAAATTATTCCCACCAGCTTGTTTTTCGAAGTTTCACTCTCCCTTTCCAGGGACAGATATGGAACCAGTTATTTTCTGACCCTCAACAATTTTATTTCCTCTAACGCCTCACATATATCGTTTGGGAACACAGTGTTCCTTTTTTTGTTTTAGCCATTAACATTTCTTACACTTGCCACTTGAATTTGGCAACATTGGTATGGTGGCTTTGAATCCAAGAAGAAGAAAAACAACAAAAACACCTCAGCTTGCCTCCGTTCGCTCATTGATTTACTTGTAGTACTCGAACCAAAGTCAATGATTATGGAACGGTTTTTTCAAGACAAAAGTTAATGTTAATTTTTCCTACTTCGCATTGAGCTTTCGTTGAGATTTGGCGTTGTTATATTTTCCTATACCGTTAACATTTGTAAATGGTGGGAGGGGGGAGATTTTCCGTTTTGGTTGGCCTTTTTTCGGGGTCTATTGTCTGCCGACGACGTCGCTGCTGCTTAATTTGCATCGTTCAACATTTAAAACGTGATTGGTTATATTTGTTTTTGCATATTTTTGCTGGGCTTTATTTGTTGAGATCGCGACCGCGTTATTGCCTAGTTGTCAGACATACTTACCTTGTTAAGAGTTGGAGAGTTTGAAGAGCATAACTCCTTGAATTTATGTTACAATTTCCGTACTCCGAACTGTTTTGAACAGACGTAGATATGTGTGGTTAATTGACCGTTTTAGGTTGCAAAAACAAAAAATGATTGGATTAAGCAATGATGTGGAGTTCCTGGTATCTGGTCAATTAGGCTGCATAATTGAAAAAATGGAAAAAGTTGATATAAGCGGATGGATGATTTTTTTAAAAATATGTAGGGAATTAAAATATTTAAATACAAAAAAACTCACAAGTACTAAGGTCAGGAACGTTCTGATTCGCTAAGATTTAATTGGGAGGATCTCATTTAGCAAATTTTCGTATTACACATTTCCTTTTTTGATTTACTCCCTCAAGAAATTCGAAAAGACATATTTCGTTACAAAACAATTGTTTTGATTTTTTTTTTTCCTTTTTTTTTGTCTTTGTCAGTCCCAAAAATGGAAAAACTTGTCAAAAAATACAAATTCCATTTGTCTGTTAATTACAGTGGTGACAATATCAGTTCATATCACAAATGGGTGTATGTATAAAAGTGTATTTGTTACTTATCGCTAAAAACAGCCGAAATGACACAATTTTTTTTGTTCAAAAAAAAAAAAAAATAAATAAATGCGAATGAAGACAGTTTTATGAAGTGCCTAAAAACTGTAAATTTCCTGAGGTTGTATTACCGTTTTAAGTCGCAAACATTGAATATTTGCTGCCAAAGCTGTAACATTCTTTAACCCATATGCGGTTGGGACAATTTGTGTCACACTGTTTTACAGTATCATTTGAAATGGGTAAATATTTTATAGTTTTTGTGAAAATGAAACTGTCACAAATTAACCCTCTGTTGACTGATGCGAATTTGTAAACATTACGAATTCAAATCACAATTAGGGGCTTCCATCATCTCTCCATAAAGACTAGCTTGTCCAAAAACACACCTCGAGTTTAAGGATACATTCTGCTTGGCTAAAAAGCAAAATGTATCCTTATGCCAGAATGTATCCTCATGCCCTTCCTTTATCTCAAAAAAATGCAGATCTCAATTGTGTTTCGAATCATTTTTTATTTAATTCTTAACATTTAATTCATTGACGTTGGAGATCTTTTTTTATAACTCAAATTATTCCAACTGTAAAGCGAATTATTCCAATTGTAATTCGAATGATTTAATTTGTAATCCGCATTATTCTATTTGCAATTATGAATTGAATTACAAATGGAATAATTCGAATTGCAATTAGAATATTCGAATTACAATTCGAATGATTCGAATTACAAATACAAATTAAAAATTAAAATGTTTCGAATTGCATCTGAAAAAGGTGTACTCTATAAAGGCTTCCTTCGGCTCATCTGCAGATAATACCTTTGGATACTTTTCCCAGCTCGTCTTTGGAGCACCCGCTGGTTTATGAAAATTCTCTGAATCCACCTAATGAGACTTTATTAGGATCTTCTATAAAGACTTCTATCAGGACGTCTATAAAAACTTCCTTCAAACCGGAGAGATTTCCCCGAGTTCGTCTTTGGAAATTTCCACCAGATCGTCCATAGAGAATTCCTTCCTTTCGTTCATAGAAACATTTTTCAGGCCGTCGATAGAGACTCCCTCAATGGAGATTTCCATTAGCTCTTCTAAAGAGGCCACCTTCAGTTCGTTCTAAGAGACCACCTTCAGCTCAACTCAGTTGTCAAATAGAGCACGATTTCCGCTCTCTCATAGAGGCCGTCTTCACTTCTTCGATAAAAGCCGTCACCAGAATGATGCGGTCTTCAGCTCGCCAATGTAGGCCGCCTTCAGCTCCTCTATAGAGGTCGTCGATGGAGACTGCCTCAATGGATATTTGCATTAGCTCCACCTTTAGCTCGTCTAAAGAGGTCAAACTCAGGCCTCTAATAGAAACGTTTTTTCCGTCATAGAGGCAGCCTTCCACTCTCCAATAGTAGCCGTCTTCACTTCTTCGATAGAAGCCGTCACCAGGTCTCCTGTAGATGCGGTCTTTAGCTCGTTTATAGAGGTCGCCTTCAGTTCGTGTATAGAGGTCGCTTTCATCTCGTCTATAGAGATCGCCTTTAGCTCGTCTATAGAGATCGCCTTCAGCTGGTCTATAGAGGTCGCCTTCAGCTCGTATAAAGAAACATTTTTAGGCCGTCGATAGAGAACGCTTCAATGGAGATTTTCATCAGCTCTCTGATAAAGCACGTTTTCCGCTCTCATAGAGGCCGCCTTCTACACTCCAATAGTGGCCGTGGCCGTCTTTATGTCTTCAATAAATAAAGGTCTCCTTCAGCTCGTCTATAGAGGTCATTTTCAACTCGTTTATAGAGGTCGCCTTCAGCTCGTTTATAGAGGTCGACTTCAGCTAGTCTATAAAGTTTGCTTTCAGCTCGCCTATACAGACCGCCTTCATATCGTCTGTAGAGGACATTTTCTGTTCGCCTTCAGGTCGTCTAAAGATGTCGCCTTCAGCTCTTCTATAGAGGTCGCCTTCAGCTCGTACATATGGGGCGCTTCTAGCTCATCCATATAGGCCGCCTTCAGCTCGCCCATAGAGATCGTCTTAATTTTGTCACTTCAGCTCAGTTCGTCTATAAGACTATCTTCATCACATTTATAGAGATCGTCTATGGAGACTCCTCTCAGCTCATTTGATTAGAATCTCCATAGCTAATATTGAGGTATCTTTCAGTGTTTGAGAAAAACTCCATTTTGTCGTGGAGAGAGAGACTCCTTTCACGTTGTCGAGAGAGACTTTGCTTCAGATAGTCGAGAGAAACTTCAGAGAAATTTGCTTCAGATAGTCGAGAGAAAATTCTTAAAGACTCCCTTCAGCTCGTCTAAAAGGGCTACGTCTGTTCGTGTAAACGACTTCCTTTGCCTCGTCGCCTCTTCAACTGACTTATGAAGGTCCCTTCAGTTCGTCTATGAATAATACCGTTGTCAATACCCTTCTTGACTTGCCAATAAGAACCCATTTAGCTCACCTATAAGGCTTCGTTCAGCTCTTTTAAAAGTCTACCTTGGGCTCTTCTAAAAGATTTCCTTCAGCTTATCTCAAAGACTCTCTTCAGGACTCCTTTTAGTCTTCCAGAAAGGCTCCCTTCAGTCGTCGAGTGAGAGACTCTTTTAACATTGTCAAGAGAGACTGCCTTCAGGTAATCTAGAGAGATTCGTTTCAGATAGTCGAGAAAGAATTCTTAAAGACTCCCCTCAGTTCGTTTAAAAAGAATACTTCTGTTCGTCTAAAATACTTCCTTTGCTTTGTCTAAAGAATTCCCTTCATCTCGTCTGGAGGGGCACTCTTCAGGTGGTTAGGAAAATGCCATTAGCTCGCCTAGAGAGATTCTTTTCAACTCACATGTAAGACTCCTTTCTCTCGTCTAAAAGCTCGCCTAAAAGGCTCCCTTCAGTTTGTCTAAAGGAAGTTCCAAAGCTTGCCTAAAATGAAACTCTATTTCGACCACTGCCATGCACCTCAACCTTTTTCGGACCACTTCAACCCAAGGGTTAATCGGATAATTCCACTTATTACGGCGAATTGCTTTCACAATAAATAGAAAATAATCATAAATAATATTACACATATTTCTATTTTTACTTCACATCCAAACAAGGAATATTTTTATTTTTCATTTTTTTACATTACTATCCTCCTGTCATCCCAATCTCCATGATTTCGTAAAGTTTCAAAAGTTTGGAAAAAAGAAAACATAAAGAAATTATATGTCGTCATACATGTGACCATGCCAGGTTAAAAACCAACATCCACACATGTCCGCAGTTTGCTGCCATCCGACTCCTTAAGGCATTGTGTCACTGGGAAATGTCAAAATCGGGCAATAATAACGCAATAACAGTAACAACAACAAAACGCCAACCAGTCACACAGTCGACCAACTAACCACCAGCTTTTCTGGCTGGCTTTCCATAAAAAATAACATTTTGTTTCAACATTCGGAAAACTCCTTTAAACCAAAAAACACTGAAACCTCTTATAAAAATGGACTGTGTTTCTTGTGCGCTGCCGACGAGATTGTCTTCTTTCTGTGCTTTGTTTTTCGTACGTTTTTTTTTTGCAAGGCATCCGTTTGGAATTGCAGGTAAAAGCTATTACCTATTGCCGAAGTCAACGTTGCTGGTGGCATAATTTTCGCCTTTGGCAAACATTACTAATAACAAAATCCAACAACAATAATAGTTACCCCATCTCAGCAAAACTAACAATGGCCTCAACCGAAAACGCCAAAAAAAAAAAAACAACAATCACGTCAAAGAGTCCACCAATTTCTGGGATTCCAAAATGAAATGAAGTGTAGCATTTGGACTTTGTCAAAAAGACATTAGGAGGCAGTGCCGTCATTCATACACACACACATACAACCGAACATTTGCACATTGTTGCATGATGCACCAGACAAGTCTCTGGTACTGAATGGAGCCCCTAGTCAGTCAGTCAGTCAGCCAGTCATCCAGCCACTGAGTGAATGGCCGAACAAGCTTTTTTAATTCGAAAAGAAAAAAATCAATATTGGCAAGACAACTAATGACGGCAACACTTACTTAGAAAAGGTGAGGAGTTTATTATTATCGTGGGTTTTTCTTCATGTCCAAAGCGGATGGACCACTCATAGATCTCTTGGGGGATTTTTTGTTCGCCAAAGTACCCGTTGCATGGGAAACCAATGAAGAATCACCAATGAACATGGTTTTTATGATGTTCATTAATTAGTAGACAATCTTCATTGACATTTAGTTATGGCTTGATAATCATTGTCGATTACTTTTAGTACACATGATTTACGATGTGGTGGGAAATTGCAAAGGGCTTATATTATTGAATATCCGCTACTAACCTATTCAGCAATAATAAGACATTCATACATTAGTTTTTTTTTTTTTTCAAATCTCTTTATCAGTACTGGATTGAAATATGAATTGGGTCATTCAAAAGGTTCAAAAAGTGTAAAAAAAATTTTTGAGGGAGTTTCCGATATGGACATGGGGGCTATCGGTGATGTACACTGTATTCGAATAACAAGATACGGCTTTTTAACTTATGTAAATATTTTGCAATATTAATGAAACAAACCAAAAAAAGTTAAGGAAAAAAGTATCAGCTATTCTCAAAAAGCCACTCGAAATACATTTAAAGACAATTACAGGTTGGTGAGAAGAGGTTTGCAATCAGCCAAAAAAATTATTTTCCGAATAAAATTCGTTCGTATGTTTTGTTTGAATTGTTTACAAAGCTCAAAATGCATAACATAACATTTTTAGAAAATCCACAATTTTTGACAAGTTTTCCTAGTCCTTGACACCGAAGTAGCAAGAGCTACGGCTGATAATTTCGCAAAAAAATGGGACATCTTAATTAAAAATTAATATTTGGTCCGTCAAGTATCTGAGAGACCCTTTTGCCTGGACGTTCTTAAAATGGTCGTACAGAATGTTTTAAGCTGGGAATCCTTAAAAAAATATCTTACGAATCCATGATTTGACTGAAAATATTAAAAACAAAGTCCCTTAAAAGTTTGTTTTCAAAAATTCGCTTCTCGATTTATATATTACAAGGAAAATCTTTGAAATAATTATTTTTTAAAAATTTTTGGTTTAATTAGCCGAGATTTCCTTGAAAAAAAAAATGTTTTAAAAGATCCACCATCGTCTTAAAAAATCAAAAAATTCAAAACAATTACCGCTAAAATCATATCAAGTAAAAAAAAATGAATGGAATCGCGGGATGTTTCGCAGTATTTAAAATCGTGATCATTTGTGGGGAAGATACCACAAGGGGTAGGCCGATAGCTATCATCTTCACAACATATCCTGTATTAGTAGAAATGTTGAGATGTGTGATGTTTAAAAAAATCGGACGCTTATTTAGCATTTTAAGCCGTTTTGTTATTAAAATTTTGATGGGGGAGGTACCAGAAGGAGTAGATCGATATTTCTCAATTTCACACCCGATTTTGTGTTAATAGTCGGTGCTTTTTCCCATGTAATAAGAGATATAATATGGACCCGTTGTGGGAGAGGTACCAGACGGTGTGGTCCGATCTCTTTTTATAACAGATCTTGCGTGGATGAAAATATTGAGATCTAACGAGTCCGAAAGGATTCGGATGTTAATTTTGCATTTCCTGAGCTTCATGGATATTCAAAATTTTGACCCCTCTGTGGGGAAGGTACCAAAAGGCGTGGATCCATATATCCCATCTTCACAGCTGATCTTGCGTTTGTATAAATAATGGGATGCGTGAAATTTGAAGATAACCGGATGTTTATTTCGGAATTCGCTTTGGTTATTCGAAATGTCGACTCTTTGTGGGGGAGGTACTAGATGAAATGGTCCAATCGCTACCATCTTTATAACAATCTTGTGTTGATGGAAATATTGAGATGTGCCAAATCTGAATTAAATCGGAGGTTAATTTTGCATTCAATATAGGCTTCATGGGTATTCAAAATTTTAACCCCATTGTGGGGGAGAAGTCGTCAGATATATTCTGTCTTCATAACAGACTTTAGGTTAATAAAAATATAGTGAAAAGACAATCGGACTCTTACATCACATTTTTTTATATAATTATTCAAAATGTTGACCTTTTGTGGGGGAGGTACTTGATGGCCATTTTCGCACCTGATATAGCGCTGATGTGAATATTAGGATTTCCAAAGTTGCAGCAAAATTGGATTATCCTTTCTGTGCAATCAAATATTTTTTTTTTTTTTAATTTCGACCTTTTGTAGGGGATGTACCAGAAGGAGTGAACCGATATTGCCCATCTTCGAACTCGATCTAAGTTTTATAATAATATTGCGATGTGTCAAGTTTGGACTAAATCGGTTACTTCCTTCGAGAGTTATCGTTTGCACCATCCAACCAGACAGACGAACGGACATCGCTAGATCGACTCCAAATTTCCTGAAACTAATTTGGTCCAAAGAGACCTAGGGTCTAAAACCGTTATTTCGATGAGGAACGTTTTGGCCGTATCAAATGATCTATACCCTCTCTAGTCATATGACTGAGGATATAACAAGTAAGCAAAGGCTACAGTCGAGCGTGGCCGACCGTTGAATACCCTACAACACTATAATAAACGATACAGTTTATATAGGCGAGATACTCGAAGGAACTCCACAAGATATTGTGACAAATAATAAAAGAAAACCATCAGGGTTCGTTCTCCAATTTTCGAATAATAGCAATTTAACTAATTTGCTCATTTCCAATTTATTGGTAGATGTTGCACGTAAATGGTCTTCCTAGATCTGGAACCAATATTTCCCAAAGACCTATAATCCCTCAGACGTGGCAAAAGATTAACATTTATTATTGGTTTTTAGAAGTGCGTCTTTTCTGTATTTGTGAATTCTCCAAAAAGTCACTGGAATGGACATTTTCGTATTTTGTCTACAAAAGTTGGCAAACTATTTCACACATTAAATATTTTTTGGATGGCCATCCAAAACTGCTTGGCTTTTGCAATGTCCGGTAACCCCCATCCAAATGTGCGTGAGGATCGGGCAATAATTACGACCTGCTGACAATTTTGCAGTTTTTTGTCCATTTCAACCCCTAAATATATAACGATCATCTCCAAAAAGAGTAGGCATCTATTCTGACCCTCATCTTATCCCCATGCTAAATTTCGTAAGGATCGGGTCATAAATGCGATCTGTATCTGATATCCTGATATCCTAACTACTTAGTTTTGGTTAGCTGTAGAAATATTACCAAACGTTTAATTCAAAATGAAAATATGCCAAAAATATGACAAAATTGAAAAAATATGAGAAAATTTTACAAAATCAATATTTTCATCTTAGAGAGATATTTTTATGCGATTTTTTAGACGTTTTTTCTTTCCTGCCAAGAGGCCATTCTGAATTAATGAAAACTGTCGAAATCAGTTCAGCCGTTCTCGACATATAAGAGATCTTTCAAGCATATCTCCTTTGATAGACATATATATCGCACATATTTTGCTATATATCCGATTAGTTGGATGTTAACATCAAGGTAAAGATCAGAAGTAACCTTGTCATGGCTTTGTGATTTCGCCGGGATTTAAAATATTCGCGGTTTAATGAAAAATTTTGAATTTTTTCAACACAAAAAATATGGTCTATTTTACCCGCTAAATATTATACGATGACCACCCAAATTGGTAGGCTTCTTCCCCGCCCTTAACTCTAGCTACATGCGAAATTCTGCGTCGATTGGTCTATAATTGCGACCTCTATAGCTACTGCAAAATCCGAAATTTTTTCAGTATTTGGTCCATTTCAACCCCTTAACATTTGGCGATCATCTCCAAAAGAAATAGGCTTCTATTCTGACCCAAACCCCACCTTCGTGCACAATTTCGATCGGGCCATAATTGCGACCTGTAGAGTGATTACAAATTAACATGGACAGACGGACGGACGAACATACATAGCTAGATCGGCTCAGCTCGGCGAGCTAGGAAGATCCATATATACTTTCCTATGTGGGAAACCAATATTTCGAGGTGTTACATAATTTTTGGCCCAATCAAACTTATAATACCCCCAACACATAGTGTTGTAGGGTAGTAGGGTGAGATGTGAAATAAAAGTAAAACCGTATGGCTGAGGTCACAAAAACAATAATGGCTAAGTTATACGTGTTAGATTTTCTACAGAAGCTTTCAAATAACCCCAATGCTAAATCGCAATCAACATTAAGTGAGCGTAATTTAAAGTGTGAAAAATAGTATTTCGTTTCATTTCATTCCCGCTCTGCTGGCTACAAATGATTGTTATTATTTCGAGTCGTAAGGAAACACTTTAAGCTAAATAATCAAAACAATTGGTAAATTGCGATTATTTACACGAATCCCGACACGAATGGCCGGCCAAACAAAATAGGGTCAATCGCAATTGAACCACAAATCATAGAAATGGCAAACATTTCATAGATGTTCGCAAGATTATCGCATTAGCAGAAGTAAGAGTGAGGTTCGTTGTTGCTGCTGCTGCTGTTCAAGCCACCGGTAATGGACAGTAGCGATTGTGGCCAAATATGATTTGATGCAACCACCAGCCACAGGAGAAGTGTTTCAATGCAACAAATTGATTAAATGCAAGACAAAAGATTTTTGCAGCAAAACGGAGCACAACGCCCATGGCAGGCTGCGGCGAACATTTTGAGTGGCAACAAGTGTAAAAAATTTTAATAATTTGCAAAACGTTTTATGGCGAAAATGCTATAACGTGACTGAGATATACGTTTCGTTAGGGGCGAAATTTAACTAAACTTTGTTGTCGGTTGTTTTGAGTTATTATATAAGACACCATTAGGCGATGCCAAACGAAAAGGCAAAAAAGAAAGAAAAGGGACAGTATCGGCTAGTTTTTGTAATTTCTATTTTACAGATTTTAATGGTGTTTTCTTTTGATTCCCATTTTTTCCAGCTGGAATCAACAATGAAAGTAACAATGAAAATATTGACAAGCTTGGCTTTTGTACTGCTGGTTATGGCAAGGAGCGGCATGTGTTTGGCTCCCTATTACATGGAATATTATGCAAATTATCATGACTTCCACAATGATGATAAGGTGAGTTTCAAAGCGTTATTGTTTTTAATTTTGGCACAGGAAGTTGTTGGTATCTTTGGTAGCAGAAAGTAAAAGTCCTTGTGAAATTAATTTAACAAAGGCAATAAATTAAAATTATTCATGACATTTCAATCCATTGTTTATTTCCCCGTTTTCTTCCTTTAGCTAAATTACAAATACCATTACTACATAGATCACGCTCCCTCCAAGGTCCACATGATGCACATGGAAGAGCGACATGGTGACAAAGTTACCGGCCAATATGGCCTTCTGGAACCCAATGGCATGGTGCGCAGTGTCCACTATCAGGTGGTGGGTGATAATGGCTTTGAAAGTGTCGTAAGAACTCGTACCCCACACAGCTCGAGCCACATACGATTGATGAGTCACAAGCAGCCATTGCAGCCGATACTGCTGCAACAGCCGGTAGCATCTGTCATTTAAAATTTGTTTATATATTTTATTTATACTTTAATGAGTTTATTTAATAATTTTTGAATTATTGTTTTTTTTTTTTTCATTTGTTTAATAAAAGCAATAAAAATTGCATGTCAGTTCTCATTAATTTTTCTCATTTATTTGATTGTTTTTTTTGCGGAATTTATAATTGTTAGATTGAAAATATCAAATGTGATTATTCTGTGGTTCAATCACTTCCCAGCAAATACGAAATGAAGTTGCGAAGCTACAGGCAGATACAAATGATGATGAAATAATCAGGAATGCATGCATCATTTTTGTTAGGGCAAGAAATTTATATTTTATTTGAATGAGAGAGGGGATTTTATTAAAATCTTCTCGAAGATTTATAGATTAATTTCAAGAATTAGAAATTCTTAAAGTCATTGTATTCTGAAAAAATTGTGTCAAATACAAATGGAAAATGTCCTACCTAAATATGTAAATAAATAAACGTTTATATTGCGTATTTAAGTGAAGCAGATCATATTAAATATGAAACTTTTAGGAATGTAATAAGCCATAGCAATATTCATATACGAAACTTGAAAAAAAATCCGGTGAATAATGTAGCTAAAATCATCAAAATACCCAATAAAGGTAAGTACCGTTATATCGGGGGCTATACGAAGACCTGCTCCTGCATAGACAATTTTCTGTCAAAGGCTGTAGTATTTAAATCCAAATACGAAATTTCAAACAATTTCGGTGAATATTGTACCTAAAAACATTAAAAATCCGAATATATGAGACCTATACGTAGACCTGGACCAGCATAGACATTTTTCGGGCATATACTGTAGTTCCCATTACGAACTCTAAATACGAAATTTGAAACAACTCCGGTAAAAAATGTCGCTAAAATTATCAAAAATACCGAATATTGGGAGGTATCGTTATATGGAGCAATACGAAGACATGGGTCTGCATACACAATTTTTTGTCCTAGGCTGTAGTACCCATTGCGAATTCTATATATGTAGTTTGAAACACCTGTCCATAATCGTCAAAATATCGAATATCGGGGGTACCGTTGTATGTGGGCTGTACGATATTGTGGACCTATATAGACTTCCTGGGGCAAGTATAGACCCACCCCCCGCATGTTTTATTGTTGTAATCAGGATACAAAACCTTACCTGCGGTGACACTTTGAAGCTGTTATTTAATTTATCGGGTTAGAAATAGCCAACAAGGCGTAAACTCAATTTAAGGTGGACAATAAATCGGGTGATGATATATATGAAAGCTATATCCATATCCGATCTCTATAAAATTTGTCAGAAATCCACTTTTTTAAAACCATTTTTACAGTTTTTTTTTTTTAAATAAGTATTTATTTTATTTCACTTTTTTTAACATTATAAAAAACTTATCTATTTGAAATTTGGTAACAAAAGTAAATTATTTTCTGTCATAGGAATAGTACCCACGGCATACCGCAAATTCTAAATGTGGCTAAAATCGTTAAATTACTTAACATTGGAAGGTTCAGTTATATAGGGACTATGCGAAAAAGTTATCCATAGGAGGTAGTACCCATTACGAAATCCAAATATCAAAATACCGAATATCTGGAGTTACCGCTATATGGAGACTATACCAAATCTTAGACAATTCTCTACAAGGGTGTGTCTGTCATACTAGGAGCACAAACAACCAATTTACAGGAAATTCGACATTTTTTGAAAACAAGATATTCTTTAAAAAGACTGGACACTTTTATCGCCACCTAGATCTTGCCAATAAATGTCACAGCCTATGCAGTGGTCATAAAACAACATAAAAAACGATTTTTTATAATTTCATAGTTATTCTTTTTTTTCAAACAACAATTATTAATAAGAGTCATAATTAAGTTTTGACATTATGCTATTTTTTTAATTCTATTTTTGATCGTTACGTTTGGGCTTTCACTAAAACATAGTTCAGGCATTAAGCACTAAAGTCAACTTGTCTCATTTACCCTCAGCAACTGAAGAGCATTTTGTCTCTGATCAAATTTTTCTAATAAATTTTCGAAAATATAAACGCCCACTAAAAATGCCATAATAAATGATTATTACAAAACAGATGGTTCATTAACCGACAGAAAATAAAATTAGCAATTACTGTCACTCTTTATGCACACAATATTTTAAAAATGTTTAATTAATTTTTATGTGATTTTTACTGAGTAAACATAACATAAATAATAAAGGTGAATATTTCACCTTTTTAAGGAGAAGCAAAAGAAAAGTATTGGACATACGAGTTTTTCCAGAAGAATGTTGTTTTGTACTTCCTAAATTTTCGAAAATTATGAATCAAGCTTACCTTTAATGTGGTGAGATTTTATTCCTCTTTCTCAATTGTTGGTAAAACACCCAAGAAGAATATTTTTATATGATAATATTTTACAAACAAATTTCTATTATGCACTGTTCAATGTAAATATACTTTATAAAATAGAATACATTGAAGAAAAAACAATAGAACATTTTCGTGTAAAATGTCAACTATTCATAATGATGTATTTTTATCCGTTTGCATAAAGTTTTAACACAATTTAAAAGTATCCAATTAAAATTAGCAAATCCAAAATAAAACACTCCCAACAACGCTCTCTTAAGGGCACTCTCTTTAACATACGTCAAACGAACTACACGACATTGATTTGTTTAGCATAAAAATGCATAAAAAGCACTCCTTCCATGGCCCAATTATTGCGCCAAACCACCTTCGTTAAACCGATGTTAATTATCAAACATAAAGACGAACAACACAATCCATAGGAAAAAATAACAACAAATGAGAAACTCTCATCAAAATATACACTCACACGAACTCTTGCACCAAAAAAAAAAAAAATAAAAAAAAAAACAAAAAAACGAAGCACAATAGTTGCTGTCACATTGCAGGCAAGGGAATGAAGGCAATTTTTTATTGAAATACATAGGAGAACTCTCTTCTTTTGCAAAAAAACGAAGCACAATAGTTGCAAATTATTGCATACTTGATATTATTCATATTATGCAATTAATTAAAAATTTAAGAATTTTTGATTAACGACAACTTTTCGCGACCGATCGGTAATGCAATTCAATAACAACTAGAGAAAGGAGCATTGGGAGAAGAAAAGAGTGTTGTCAATACACGAAAGAAATTAAGTAGTACAAATTTAGAAACGCAAAACCAAACAATGGGGCAAAGGTTATGTGTTATTTTGGACTACGTTCACATTTGCTTAATTATTAATATTAAATATAGAAAAGAAATACTGGTATTATTTTAAGCTGATTATCTGTGCTGTGATTAGTGCCCTTTGAGAGCATTACTTGAGAAGTTTTATATTTGCGACCTTTTATCGCTCACCTACTATAAATACAAAAGAAAGGGATGTTAGCTAGAATGCTTGTATTTCAAGAATGGCTGGACCTATTTTGACAAATTTTGTCAATTCAGAATGCCCTCGTGGCAAAAAAGTATAAAATCGAAAAAAAACGCATAAAAAGGTGTCAATAATGATGTTAATATAGATTTTCTGGTATATTGTGACATTATTTTATTTATTTTTTTTTTTTTATCGCAAGCGATTTTTTCGAATTGACTTATAATATTGAAGTGTATATATTGTGTAATATTTTTTCACCTTACAACACAGGTTGGGGTTATTATATGCAGATGAAAATTATTGTCCGATCCCCACGAAAATTTCACAAGGCTAGGTTGTTTTCAACGATTTCCGCAATTTATTTAGGAGTTGAAATGGACCAAAAACTAAAAATGTTCCTGATTTTGCAGCTGTTATAAAGGTCACAAATATAAACCAAATGACTCGAAATCTCGCATGAAGTTGGAGTTCAGGACCAGATTATGGACTACTATTTTTGTATTGGCCTTTTGCAAAAACAGAAAAATGTTCCTGATCACACAATTGAAATAAATCGACATGGAATTTTGCATGACAAGAGACTTAAGAGCAGGGAGAAGTCTAGGATTTTGGACGACCATTGGATTACATTTCGCTTAAAAATAGACCACAACAACTAACAGCACGATGGAATGCGTAAATATTGGACAAATGTTCCTGGTCAAAAAACTAAGGGTAATATCTGGGCAGTGCTCTATGACATAATTTCTACAGCCAAATCTTCCAAAATGTATTTGAACATAAGGGGACTTCTACCATATTGTAGTGGTGTAGGGTATCACATAGTCGGACCTGTACGACTATAACCTTTCCTTACATGTTTTCCTTCTTTATTATAGAATTTAAAAAATTTTTAATAAAATTGTAGACAATTTTTTTAACAAATACATATAAAATCGACCACAAGGGTGAAATGATTTCGTTTGAAACTTGTCTAATAAATTTTCAATAAAATTGACGCCTACCAAAAACCCTATATCAAATATTTATTGCGAAATAAACGGTTCATTTACCTTTTGGTAATAAATTTGCAATTACTCTTATTTTTCTGCACAAAATGTTTTAATTAATGTTTATGTGATTTTTATTTTGTACTCATAAAATAAACAATGAAGTTAAATATTTCACTTTTTAAATTGAGAAAATTGCATTGTAGATGCAAACGATCCAACAGTCAATCTTACCTTGTTTATCACTGATGTCTACCGCTGTGTAGTTGTTTTTTTTTTCAACCGTTGTTAAAGCACCGATGAAGAATATTTTGTATTGTGTATTGAACTATATAATCTTAATAATATTTTGTAATACATTGTACATTAAAAATAAGAACGAAACATTTCTGTAATAAATTCTTACACTAATGCGAAAAATAAAGCTAAACCGGTAATGAAATAAACGGGAACTGAGCAAGGAACATTGGGAGAAGATAATAGTGATGTCAATACGCGCCAGAAATAAAGTAGTGCAAATTTAAAAACGCAAAACCAAACAATGTGTCCAAATTTTCTTTACATTTAATATGAAAAAGAAACCCTGGCATTATTTTATGCTACATAATAATCATATGGCTCGATTTGTAAAGCTTTTTATTATTATATTTAATTTGGTCATATAAGTTAAACTTTACCTTTTCAA